AGAACAACTCACCCATTAATAAACACTGCAGTGAGTTTTGTGGGATTTTTGGAGTAGCAGTACAGTCTGGATAAAAATCTCTTTCATTTGAGACATAACACAGATAAGGATTTTTTTCATCCTTACATAAAGCAAAACCATTTTGCTTTTTGTTCTTAATCTTGATCTCATCCAGTTCTTCCAGGATCCTACAGCTTTCTAAAGGGATTTCTCCAGACTGAGTTTGTGAACTGCTCAGCTGTATGGAATCAGAAACATCACAGCAGTTGCTGTATTTCAAGTATTTACCGGTGTCTACTTCTCCAATGTGGTTTGCCAGCATCTTAACATGTGTATTCAGTGCTGCATGCTCCCTGCTGCTTGATTCACTGTCCTATTTTCTTTTTGCTGTCTGAATTTTCTGACATGAAGAAACACTTCACTTAAGACCTCTGGTTTTCTTCCACTTCTGAGTGATGTTATATACAAAATATATAGATGCCAGCCTTTAACTTTCCTCAAAGCAGGGTTTTGAGAGGTTTCCTTGCCCTTAGTTCAGGTGCTTTCCAGTTTGTAGTTAGTTGTCCTCCTTTGTGATGTGTTCTAATTGATTCCTGGGTGGCTGGATGTTTGTTTGCTGCATTTGAGATGAAGCTTGAATTTTAAATGAGGTAGATTGTAATCTGAGTTTCTGTCTGGACCTTGTGGTGTTTTTCTTGAATGAGAACTCTAGTTTTCTCCTATTTCTGTGCAACGATCTGATCAATCAACTGATCAGAAGAGGTACAATTCTATTTTCCCAAATTGTGATGGTGAAAGAAGGCATTTGCAAGGATAGAATGAGATTCTCCAAGCAGAGCTCAATGAGTCCCTGTCCTCATTTGTTGATCTCACTCTCTCCCATGGCAGCTTTGATCAGGAACTTCTTCCTGCCAGGGAAATCTCATGTACTCAGCAACTGTAGCAACAAGTCTTGTGTTTGTCTGTCTTCAGTTTCACCAGCCTGGGATCATGTTTTTGCAAGGCATTTACTGTCAAATTCTGCTGTCTTTCAAATGACACTTTGAAATTACCCTTTTTAATTTCATTATTTATACAGGCACTGGTTTTTAAGTGTGTTACATCTGGCTGTAGGTTTCCTCTGGATATTACCTGTGTGGGATGTTGTAATTGTTAATTACTCAAACTGGCTGCAAAACCACTTAAAAAACCTCCAAACCAACCCATAAACAAAAAGGTTTTTCATAGTATACGAAGAATATTCAAACTCACTTAAATTCAATTTTATATTTTTTTGTGGAATTCTTTCTTTATTTCTAGACTGTCACACAAATTGTCTGTGTTTCCTTAAATTATATTGGTTCTCTATGACATCTCTGAGGATTGGGTTTATCCCAATACATGAGCAATATTTAGCAATGAGCTAGCCTGCTCTGAATTCACTTCTGTATCTGCCAGTCTGTAGTTGCTGAAAAGATTTCTCTCTTATTTTTTCCTTCTCTTTTCCCCTTGGCTAATTCAGCATTTTCAACCATTTTCCTTATTTTCAAAGGCTTACACCTGAGGGATTAAGATCTACATTCGTTTAATATCAGGAATAAAGTGGAAGTTCCAGACTGCAAGGCTAAAACTTGAAGAAGGATTTTTGTAGAGATTAATATTTTCCTGAGCAATCTGCAAGCTGAATCATGGTCTAATTAAATAGCACAGATTTATTGAGTTTGCATTTAAACATTGGCAGACCCTAGAATGAGTACAGCTGAAATGAGTTTGAATCTTTTCTGTAAATGGGGAGTTAAATTATCATAGTAATTTGATTACATAATTTTTAAATCTTTCAAGCTAAATCACCATTTTAAAAGAACAGTTTGAAGTCTTAATCACCACTGGAAGTGCCCCTCTCTGTGCTGTTTTTTCTTACCCCATTCCTTGTGACCAAATCTGTTCCCCAGGGCACAGTTTCCTGAACTGCTCCATGAACCACCATTTGGGGGAGGCAAGCTGGCTGGGCACGTTCTTTCCAGTTATTAAATTAATTTCAAAGACAGCAAGAAATACATTAAATGCTTTAGTACTATTACTTCTCCATGTAAATAATTGCCCTGTTCACCAGAGGGATGGTACACAATCCCCCCTGCAAGGAGGAGGTAAGAGCCCTTGTGTGTGGATATTTTTCACACAGTGAAAGAGTTTTAAAGCATGAAATGTAGTAGCTGTGTCAGAGGGCAGGTGTTGATTCTTTTATGGGGGGGTGTTCTCTTCTTTTCCCTCCTCACTCACTTTCAATATAAGAAATATGAAGAGTGTAGATATTCCTAACACTGCAGGCCAAATTGCTCTCCAAACTGCAGAGTTAAACATCCTAGGCAAGTTTCACCTCTGTGAGAAAAATACGTTTAGTCTGGACTCCATCCACCTATTTGCAAACTTATGGTCACTGCTACAAATACTGATTCTGGGCAAAACCAGACCAGTTTTGTAAAGGGTTAAAAACTAAACCTTTACAGTCACATTCTCAAGAAAGACCTGTCTGTTTATGCAGCATAGTGTAAAAAAAACCCCATAAATGTAATGAGAACAGTCAGTCTTTGACTCATCAAGGATTTGTTGCAAGATAAAATGCTCCTATTTGGCTTCCCAGCAAATCTGTCCTTGGCACTGTGGATCTGGGGAGAGGAGGAAAAGGTGTGTATGTTCTGCACAAACAGCACATGGTTTATGGAAAAAATTACTTGGAGTAGGAGATCATGTGTTCTGTAGCACAGCAGTGAATATCCAAGGAGTTGGTAAAGAGTTAGGGAGTAAAGACAACAGTGTTTTTGGAGATTGCATCCCAAATTAAGCCTGGTGGCTGGACCCTGTGCTTAAGACATCAGTCACATCTATATGTGTGTTAGCATGTCTGTATTGATTACATCTGTTTGTAGGACACAGAATTCAGGGCTTTTCTCTTATTGACACAGAATTACTGAATAGAATTACCATATTAGAAAACTATCAAAAATGTATGGATTCAGGGAATGGCCTCACATTAATTAGAACTAAATTTTGCTAGAAGTAATATTTGCCTGTCATATTTTTCAAAATGTTGTAGCCTTCTTTATCCCTAAGAGAGAAATTTCTGTGTCTGTGCTTTCAGCACAGTGCACCTTGAGGTGCAGCATCACATCTCAGTGGTGTATGTCTTAGCTGCATGCTTCTTAGAGCATGTATTCACTAAGACTCAGAATTATTAAACATATAAAATTCCCATAGGACTCCATTATGTGTAATTAACAGATAAACTGTCATCAGAATCAATAAAACGTGCTAAATGATCCAAACTTGTATATAATTGTCTGTTTTAGAGCTGTAACTTTTTTTTTCCTTTTCAATTTGCACATTTGTTGTGACAATAAGAGCTGGAACATTTTTGTTAACCTGTTACTTATGGGTTTGTGTTTCAGTTTGCATGTTTGTCTTTGAAAGGAGACAGGTATTTACTATCTGGCCTAATTATCTGAGGAAACAGTTGCATGTCAGCTTTTAGGAAATTAATCTTAGATGCATCTTAATTCTCTGAATGCAATTCAGATATTTGAAACACGTGCAAAAGTTGACGTTTAATCATCAACAGGGTAAAACATGCGGCTCTATCAAATACTGATCCAGAGCATCAGACTGCTGGTTACAGGTCATGGAAACAATAGTGGAAGTGGGTTCTTCACCATCCAGCTCCTCAGTTGTTGTTCTGTCTGTGAACAGGGGCTTCATTCCAAACCCAAAAATTAGGATGCAAAGCAGTGTTACACTAAGTAAAGTTTTGAAGGATGAACTTTAATTATGCCGTGTCCCAGTTTCACCTTGAGCAATGGTTGCACAGTTTGGCCTGTCCCTGGTGCTTGTACCCCCTTGCAGCAGTTGTATTTTCGTGTGGTGCTTCATTGGCTCTGTAAGTCTGTTGACCATCCCAAGTTTGGTAGCTGATAGAGGCTGTTTGGTGGCCTCTTTCACCCACAACTGTTTTGCCTTACTTGCATTCCCCTCACTTTGGACCACATCAGGGTTTCTTTGGCATTTATGACTACATAAAAGTCAGAGAATTAGGGCTGCTCATCCAAAGTAATCTCAGCATGGTCCAGTAACTGCGTGTTCTCAGGGACATCTTCACTTTCTGTATCTATCCAGTTGAGGGGTTTACAGTTATTTCAGTTAGATATTTTCTCTTTATTTCACACTTCCATTACTTTAATCTCTTCAGGTCATGAAGCAGTTTAGTTTAGTTCCTGGTATGTGTTGTGTGCCCAGGCCTGTCACTCAATACTTACACCATCAAGGCATCTCACCTGCAAAGGTGCAGGGCAAGGTGTTTGCTTTAAGTCTTTTATAAAAAATGCAAAACCCCAACACTAACAAGATAAACTGCTGTCTGTGGGGGTGGGAGAGAAGGATTACACCTTGTAGGAGATGTTAGCTTCACCGAACAAAAGCTGTTCAGGAACATGCTAAGTGTTGCCTCCCTGTCTGAATATGCCTGAGGGAGAAAAAATTTGCTAAACCTATCAGGAAATCACTTCAGACCAGCATTTCCCTTGTTTTGGTGCAGTGGTCCTAATCCTACAGTCAGGTGACGTCCATGGGTTCCTAGTGGGCAGCCTGACACAGAATTTTGCTGAGCTTTTCCACAATAGAGCATCCTTGCTTTATCCTTGCTTCCCTGATAGAATGCAGCCTTCCACTCCTTCAGCCCCTTGGCACTGTCATTCCTTCAAAGCAGTAACCCTACAGATGGTTTGGGGAGCACCGAGGGTGACTGTTTCACTTGTTTGAGAAGGATGAGGAGAAGAATTACTTACCCAAGAGTTAATTGTACGTTTGTAGTTCCTCAGCATTTCAATACACTTTCCTAAAGGTCAATACAGAAATTAATGGGTAATTATCTTTCCTCTTTGTGAAAGACGATGGGCAGAACCAGTGAAAGTGTCGTTATCAAACTCCTGGCACACCAGACTGAAACCTACTGTTGCTCTTTTGTTTTGCAGACTCAATGCACATAGAGGATGTTGAGGCAGTGCAGAAACTTCAGGACGTCTTACATGAGGCTCTGCAGGATTACGAGGCTGGGCAGCACATGGAAGATCCTCGTCGTGCAGGCAAGATGTTGATGACTCTCCCGCTTCTGAGACAAACCTCCACCAAGGCTGTGCAGCATTTCTACAACATCAAACTGGAAGGCAAAGTCCCCATGCACAAACTTTTTTTGGAAATGCTGGAGGCCAAGGTCTGACTAAAGCATCATGGGCTTCCCCATCATGCACGTTTTAAAAAAAAAAAAAAAGAAAAAAAAAAGGGAAAGTAAACAGGATAATAATGGCAAAGAAACTTAGTGTTTAATTAAGGAAAAAATGACTAAATGACTGCACTGATATTTAGCAGCAAGACTGTGAAGCAGCTTTCAACTTTTTCTTCTGTGTCTTTCTGATGCAGTTTTTTCTTTTCCTTTTCCTTTTCTCCCTTTTCCTTTCTGTTCTTTCCTTTCCTTTTTTCCTTTTCCTCTTTTTGTTTTTCCTTTGCTGCTGAACTTTTTAAAAGAGGTCTCTAATTGAAGAGAGATGGAAGCCAGGCCTGCCAAAGGATGGAAATCCATAATATGGATGCCAGTGAACTTATTATGAACCATAATGTCCCCAATGACAAAGGAATCAAAGAGAGAAGCACCGTACCTAGCAGTACAGTACAACACGATGAACTGACTGAATGCAGTATTAGATTTCATAGGAGCAGTCTCTAATTAGACGACTAAAGCGACGATGCATCGGCTGCTTCTTATCATTGCATTTTCCATCTAGATCAGTTACAGCCATTTGATTCCTTAATTGTTTTTTCAAGTCTTCCAGATATTTCTTAGGTTAGCTACGATGTAACTTTTTCAGGGAATAGTTTAAGCTTTATTCATTCATGCAATACTAAAGAGAAAGAAATACTGCATTTTTGTGCTGGCTTGAACAATGATGAACAATAATGAAGGACAAATGAATCCTGAAGGAAGATTTTTTTAAATGTTTTGTTTCTTCTTACTAATGGAGATTTTTTTGTACCAGCTTTACCAGTTTTCAGCCATTTATTAATGTGGGAATTTATCTTACTAAAGCAATAGTCGAAGGGAAGGTGCATATTATCACGGATGCAATTTATGTTGTGTGCCAGTCTGGTCCAAAACATCCAGTTTCTTAACATGAGCTCCAGTTTATAACTAAATGTTCACTGACTCAAAGGATTAGATTACACCTGCAGTATATCCGAGTAGTCTACCATATAAATACTCCATGTCAAATACCAATCCGTAACGGTGTTAGGAGACAGCGACTGCGCGGGGGCGCGGTCGCCGAGTGATTTCTAACTGCTTCAGTTGCAAATGAACAAGATACTACTGCCTGTTTGCAAAATTGTAACCTCACACGCAGAAAAACCCTATGAACCAATAGTAGCTTAGAGGCAATGAGGCGAATGCTGCCGTTTGCAAAATTAAGAAATCAGAGTAGTAGACTTCTGACCAAATTGAAGAATTTAACACTTCTGTACCTTATTTATTGATTTAGATTTTCATTTGTAAATGGCGATCCTTAACAAGTAGCTAAACCAGTATATGTGCTTTTCAACCAGTATTGTCACAGCATGAAAGTCAGTCAGTTTCAAGACTGTTACGAGGTGTAATCTAATGTATAAACCGATTAGATGCCCCCAGAAAACTACAGTCGCTAAATAACCAATAAACAATAACCTCCATCAAATGCTATACCAATGTACCAGTGTTAGTAGCTGCTCCCTGTACTATGTGAACATCCTTATTCTATGTACACAGATGTAATTAAAATTGTAATCCTAACAAACAAAAGAAATGTAGTTCAGCTTTTCAATGTTTCATGTTTGCTGTGCTTTTCTGAATTTTTATGTTGCATTCAAAGACTGTTGTCTTGTTCTTCTTGTGGTGTTTGGATTCTTGTGGTGTGTGCTTATAGACACAGGGTAGAATTAGAGACAATATTGGATGTACAATTCCTCAGGAGATTACAGTAGTATATTCTATTCCTTACCGGTAATAAAGTTCTTCCTAGTAATAATTAAGAGATCGAAACTCCAAACAAATACTCGTTATGAACAGATACACACTGAAATCATAATATTTTCAAAACAAGGGATAATTTCTGTAACAGTTTATTATAGAATACCAATGTATAGCTTAGAAATAAAACTTTGAATATTTCAAGATTATAGATAAGTCTAATTTTTAAATGCTGTAAATATAGCTTTTATTCAATCATCTCTCAGATGTTGTTATTAACTTGCTCTGTGTTGTTGCAAAACTTTTTTGGTGCGGACAAGTTTCCAAAACTATTGCTACGTTGTGTGCTTTAAACAAAATAACAATGGGCCGATGCTCTCTCTGGCCTCATGCTAGGAAAAAGAAAAAAAAACTGTGTATCTATCATTAGCTATATGGGACTATATTGTAGATTGTGTTTTCTCAGTAGAGAAGTGACTGTAGTGTGATTCTAGGTAAATCATCATTAGCAATTCATTCAGATGGTCAATAACTTGAAATTTATAGCTGTGATAGGAGTTCAGAAATTGGCACATCCCTTTTGAAAAATGTCAAAAAAAATACAACTCCTGGGAAAAAGGTGCTGATTCTATAAGATTATTTATATATGTAAGAGTGCAAAAAAAAAAAGTTTATTTTCCAGAAAGTTTGTGCAGGGTTTAAGTTGCTACTGTTCAAGTACACTATATATATATAAATATATAATATAAATATTGTTTTTGCTGTATCACATTAAAGAACTTGGGCTTCAGGGTCAAAAGCCAATCAACTAGAAGTATACAAAAAACACAAAAAATGGAGATGTGTTAAAGGCACACGGTGCAAACTTTAGTTTTCATTTTCCGTAATTTTTTGGAGCTGCAAAAGAACAAGTATCTCAAGACTGTAAAACCATTACCTGAAACTTAGCTAAAAAAAGTGCACGGGCTTTATAATATTGTTCATCTTAAACCTTGCTGGAGAAGAGTTCTTTCAAGACCACTTACTTAATGTGAAGTGTTGGGAAAATTTCAAAGGGTGTATGTTTTAGCCATAACAATTTAATTTCTATTTTTGCTTCATTTTTTAATTTTTTCTTATTTAAAGCAATATGATTGTGTAACTCCCAGAAGTTACACATTTGTTTCAATCAGATCAGATTGTTGTATTTATTCCACTATTTTGCATTTAAATGATAACATAAAAAGATATAAAAAATTAAAACTGCTATTTTTCTTATAGAAGAGAAAATGGGTGTTGGTGATTGTATTTTAATTATTTAAGCGTCTCTGTTTACCTGCCTAGGAAAACATTTTATGGCAGTCTTATTGTGCAAAGATCGCAAAAGGACAAAAAAATTAAACTGCTTATAATAATCCAGGAGTTGCATAATAGCCAGTAGTTAAAAACCGAAACAAAACAACAAATGAAAACAAACATGTCTATAGCTGTAGATGGGCTTCACATCTGTATAGCAATCAGCTGTATATTTTTGTGATGTGTATCATACCGTGTGCTCCAACCAATGTCCATTTGTGTAAATGTATTTATTTTATATTGTATATATTGTTAAATGCAAAAAGGAGATATGATTCTGTAACTCCAATCAGTTCAGATGTGTAACTCAAATTATTATGCCTTTCAGGATGATGGTAGAGCAATATTAAACAAGCTTCCACTTTTGATTGCTTTTATTTTATTTTTTGTGTTGTGGGATTTTTTTGGTTTTGTTTTCTTTTTTGGAAGAGGAAAACAGAACAATTAGTGTTGCCTTTTGTTACTTCCATTCAATACGGAGCCAGCGTTTGCACTTCTCCCTTAAAGTACGATATGAGTGTAAATAAATGCTATATAAAGCCTTGTCAGAATGAATTCCAGTGTGGTACAAGACATTTTGCGTACTCTTAAATATGCAAAATGTCTCATAGCACATTAGAATTTAGGCTGACAGGCCTTTATATAGCACTTATTTAATCTTAAAGCATCTACACATCAACCTGCATTACTCAAAACCATTGCCTCTCTGTTAATGTCTTCAAAGAAAACTTTCCCACTATTTTAAGATCACATTAATGTCATAGAGAAGTAGTTTTTTGCTTTCTCCATCAAGAACTGAGTCTATCATTCATTTCCTACTGCAGGAGACTCCTTTAATGTGTTCTGAGTAAAAATAAAAAATAAATGAAGATAAAACCTGTATTATTTGATCCAGTGTTCTGAATGGAAGTAAAGGGCCCCCAGAACAGTGACACAGACTGGTGTGAGCTGTCAGGATCCAGGGGGGTTAAATAGCGCGGGGGCCAAGCGGCCCTGAATGGGCTCTGGGCTCATCCCTGCGAGGGGCTGCAGCCCCCCTCTCTCAGGCTCAGCCCCTCTGTCCTGTGGACCCTTCTGGAACCATCACAGAAGTGCTAATGTGTGCTTTTCTTGCTTTTTAGCCTATCTTGATAGTGTTTTGTCATGTTCACCAGCATGTTTCTCACCTTCACTCCTGGCCGTCCTCAGGAGGTTCTGGCCGATGGCACAGGGGCTGCTCGGGGACAGGAGCTGTGTCAGCCACAGCGCCGGGGCAGCACCGAGGGCTCTTTGTGCTTCACAGCCTCCAAGTGCCAGCACAGCAAGAGGCACCCCTGCCCTTCCACCAGCGCTGTCTGTGCTTTCGCTGTCTTGGGACTTTTTGTGAGTGAAAGGAGCAGCAGGGCAATAGGAAGATGAATTCTGCCTGGATTCTGCAAAGATGATCAGAATTGGGCTTTAGTGTACGCAGGCATACATCCATATACACACAGCATGCTTGGACAGAGCTGGCTTTCCCCATTTTCTAGTGTTTCACCCCTTTTTATTAGTTTCCTGGTTTTTAATTATTGCAAAGTTCCTCTTCAAAAGAAAACCTAATAGTGCACCTTAAAAAGTGAAAAAAGCAGTGTTACAAATTTTCACATACAAAAGGAAAATAATCTGTAAGTGGCACTCCTAGACTTCCTCAACATATGTTAGACCCTAATCATTGACTAAAGTTTTCACATGCAGTTAAAAAATCATGCTTTCTGTACCATTTTTCATGAGAGGATCATGAAGCATCATACAACAGAAATTGAGCATCAAAGGAGAAAAAATACAATGCTCAGCTGAAGCCTCTTCTAGGGCTCTGTCTCTGCAGTTTTTCTGGTTTGTTTCTTCTTTCTTCTGCCTATGCTGTCTCTGCTGTAAAGCCAGGACAGGCACAGAAATCCATTGGAAATGTTTCAGTAGGAATCTGTGGGGAATTTGGCTAAGATCACAAGCCTTTCTAAACTATGAAAATGGCTACTTAGTCTTTAAAGAAAATTAAAAAGGGCTTGGGGTACTGGCACTCATAGCTCAGACAACACACCCTGCTGTAGCTCTCAACTGCTGCAGCCCCAGCTTGTGGCTACCACAACACCACTTGGCTAAAATGAGATGGCAAATCAAGAGTCTTCCCATTAGGGTATGGCTCAGTGAAATCAGGTTTTGACTGGTGTGCTTTCTATCCCCCTTCCCCTCCCCACTCCACCTGACCTCCAGGTAGAAGAAGCCATCCCAGTTCAAGAGTGGGGTTTTGTCTCTGGAGGTGTTTGTTTGACAGCTCCACTGCCCCTCACTGCCTCACTGGCACCCATGCCCTCAGCCAGAACCATTGGTGTTGATCTGAAAGGAGAACACCAGTCCCTGAGCTGGCCACCTACGTGGCATAGGGTTTGTGAGGGGCTGTGAATTTTCTCTGGAACTTTGCAGTCAAGTAATGGCCTAACTTGATGTCATTTGGGCTCTTTGGTTGGTTGGAGGGGATTTTTTGACCTTGTGAGTTCACAGAGTGAGAAGGTCTGGCAAACACCAACTAAAAGTGTCCTTGTGCAGTCCCTGCAGCTGATCCTTTCTCAGGAAACAGCAGGAAAATCCTGTGCCAGTCAGTGAAAATAGTCAGTGCTATTGCACGTGCAGTTATGTGTGCTTCTTAACAATGCCAGTCCTGAAAGAATAAATATGAATAAAAAAACAGACCACTAAAACCAAAAGGAAGATTATGAAGGAGAACAGAAATGGAAATACTGTCCTTAAAAATGTATACTATGAGCACTTGTCTAAGTGACCTCTTGCAGCATTGCCCAGTCATACCCTAGTGGGAAAAAACCCTACCCTAAGCACCTGAGATTTTTTTTTGTGTACACCTGAGATTTTTTTGTGTGTACAGGCTTCTGCAGGAGAAAATGCATCTTTTAAAAATTTTTAACATTAGCTGTCCTGGATCTTGCACCAAACTCAAGAATGGGGCAGCTTCCATCTGTTTTCTACATTTTCTTCTATGGCCTTTGTTTGTTCTCCTTAACAGCTTTCTTCACTCGCACCTTTCCTTTCCTTTGCATTTCATCTCTCTTGTGTAATGTAGGTCTCTGATTTCACATGGCACTTTGCTAATTACTCTATCCTTTATTATCCAGCCTTAGCTGTCTCACAAGGCAGAGTGTGTTTTCTCTTGCAATGAAAAGCTGATTCCATATGACCTTGCCTTTAACATACAGATCACAAACTTCCTCCTTGTGGTTGCTATTAGAGAAGGGGAAAAAACCCCAAGTAACTGTGGAAAAGAATATGGATGCATTTATTTGCTTTTGCCATTTTTATCCCAAAGTGTTTGTGCTGCCACATCCCGGCCATGCTAATCGTTAGTGTTTCGTTAAGATTAAGGGTCGCTGACTCCTGGTGTTCACATTCCCAAGCTGGCTCCTTACAATCTCCGTTAATATAAAGGAGCAAGTGGCGGTAGATTGATTACACGCAGGCTCTTATTATTAAGCAGAACAGAAAAGAAAGGAATTTCAAAATATAATCCTCCGCTCCCAGGAGTATTTGTCTTGTTCTCCATGAAGTTAAAGGTCTGAAATAATGTGCCCATCAGGAGCTCAATGTTGCATGTCCATGCCAGTTGGTCCAAGGGCTTGTTATGATGGTAATGACCTGCTGAAACGTGAGCTTTGATGGCAACAATACAATTGCTACCAGCTCACCCGCTGGGAGAAATATTTTATTATTGTCAAATGCCCTCCGCAGAGATTTGTTTTGCCTGTTCCTGTTTAAATTAAATTCAGAGCAGAACTGCATTATTATTTCTCTGGAGTATATTTGAAATAAACAACTAGTCTCCAAATTTAGGATTCCTGGTTAGTTTAAATTTTCTTATTAGCAGAAAAATTACAATAGGTGACAACATAGCTGCAGGAATATTATTATGGCAGCCATATGAGAGATTTACACACTGAGAGCATAGCCTAAAAACACAAAAACTCCCTTGTACTTTACAAATTCCAGCCAAATTAATAATTAACTGTGCCATAAATTCTGCAGCCTTCAAGAATGATGTCAGTGCTCTTCTGTGTCACACTAGAGGAATTTTGTCATAAGACTAAGTGGTGTTCTTTATGAAGAGTGTTACTTATATGTAGAAAGTGGCCCAGGAAAACAGCCCTTGCCACTCCATATTACAGCAGCTCGGTGAACAAGTGACAGCAGGACTTCAGAGTCATTTACTGCTGCTTTCTCAAGGCAAAACTATCTCCTTACGCCTGTGTGAAACAGAGCAAATTTTGTTCCACATTAAATGGGCCAGATTATCTCTTCCACAAGCTAAAGAGACAACACTAAATCCCAGCTCATGTAATTTCCTTCAAAATTGTTCTGCTCGGGCTGGGTGTTCCCAGGAGCGCCACCAGCAGAATTATCCAGCAATTCAGCTGTACTTAAATTGGCAGATGTTGGAGATTTAAGACAGTCCTGGAGCCTTAGCACAAATCCTCCACTTCTGTGCTGCCTTGTGGCCTCCCCTCCCTCTCCAGCCCATGCCACAGTGGCTGCCCGCTGCCAGCGCTGCTCCCATAGATTGCCAAGCTCCTGGGCTGTGCCATCCCTGCCTTGTCCCATCCAGCACCCAGAGCCAAGAGGGCAGCAGGAGATGTGCTGTAGGTTTGCATCTCTGCCTGCTTGCAAACCCTGCGTTTGGCATTCCAGGGAACCAGTTGTACACCTGTTGTTTGCCTTTCCCCTGTCTCCCAAGTGCCCATGCTGGTGAAAAGCTGCTTCATCTAAAGACTGGATGATATTTGTGCCCTGCTTTGCTGACAGAAGCACTTCCCAGAGAGGCACTTGAGCAGTGCAGCGCAAGCATCTGAGCAAGAGCAGGGTGACAGCAGTGAGACAGGGAATGGTGGGAGGGCAGGTAATCTGCCCCAACTCAGGACATCGATTAGAGGAGCTGCCACGCACCTGCAGAGGGAGGAACACTCACAGGGGAGGGGAGCGTTGCTGAGTAAACCTCCCCTGCAGCAATGACCCATCACCTGTCCTTCCCAGCTCCTTGACAAGCTGCCAGCCACCCACACCAGCCCTGGGTTGACGGCACACAGCAGAGGCTGTTGGAGCCAGACCCACAAGATGGTGTGGCTGAGGATAGACATCTTTTGCAAATTTTGCCCTGCTGGGAGTGTGGGGAACCTGCAGCAGCCCCTCAAAGGCTTTTTAGCAAGAGAGTTAGAGGGTAAATGACAAGTGAAAAGGGTTAAAAGAAAAAATATTTTAAAATCACAAGTGCATTATGAATCACACTCCTAACACTCTCCAGTTCAATCTACCATGCTCTATCTAATTTCACAACTTCATTGGGAATGGCCACAAGGTGAGGGACTGGCAGTATGAAGAAGTCAATAAAGGCAGAATTCTCATACCAGGCTGCGAAGGAGTCACAGAAGTGCCAGTGTTACTTGCTAGAGGTCAATTTGGGGTCTATAGGGCTCCTGGGTAGTACTGAATGGAAAACCTCCATTTCATCCTCAGTGGATTCCGTCTTCACTGCAACCCTGATTTAAATGAAAAAAGAAATACCTGGGCCTGAATCCCAGGGAGCATCTCTGTATTTTGACACAAAAGTGTTTCAGTCTTCCCTGGGGTCTGCAAGCTTCCCACCCCACACACTCTCCAAGTGCACAAGTCTCTCTCGTTAACCACAGCTGACCCTTCACTGAATATTCTGCCCATTCCTGTGTAACACAAACACCTTAAAGAATGAGGTGTCTATAGCACATCGAGGCTGAGATTAGTCACAAGCATAGAATAACCTCCTCTAGCAGGGGCTGAATCCCAGGTCATGCCTGTGGTTTCCACCTCACTTAACTCCCGGCAGGTCAT